AAGCTGTTTTCCACTTTTTCTTTGGTCATTTTAGCCTTTTTGGCCAGGGTGAAGGGAGTATCTGCCATCAAACAAGAAGACAGCCGCATGTAGCTATGATGATGTTTGCTAGTTCACCTTACATGCATTAATGTAATAACGTGGTTAGCCTACTCAACGTAAATTACACACGAACAACATTAAGCTACTCACGCAGAGAAGAACGGCTGCTGCTGCATCATCATCCTCATCATTTCTGCTACACTGGCAGGGCTAGGGGCCAGGACTCTCCTCTTCGGGTTTTTGGGGGATGTTGCTAACTCCGGGTCCGATAACAGGCACCACACCCGCAGTAGATGTGCTCGGTGTGAGGTCTCGCAGCAAGCTATCAAATACGGCGCATTTCTCGGCTTTTAAAAAACGCTATGCGTCGCCAGGTGTTTCATCGGATTCAGGTTAATATCATGATGCTGCTTTATAATTAACTCATTAACTCACTGGTGATTTTCTCATTTCTTTTTCTTTTCTAGGCACTGAAAGCCATGAAGTCACCACCAGTCCTACAGAAATACATTTTAAATGGTCTTTCTATGTTTTAATTGGAGTGCTTGTAGTCTTAATCATATCTGGAGTCATCCTTGGATTTATATACGTAACAAAATGCAGCAGGTAAGAGATTATTATATTATTATATTATAATGTCTGTGAAGGTTCTCAGTCAGTTCTCAGTATTATAACACGGTTAGGGAGTATAACCATATTATGATCATATTTACTGAGGCATTCACAACATCTCATGCAAACTCTGTCACATATTATTTAATGTAACATTTATCTTACGCTGACGCTCATCTTATGGTCGATGTGGCTTTATTTTTTTTATTCTCCTGCACAAGCTCTTTATTTAAAATCCACATATATAAAATAAATATTTTCATCTCGGTTCTAAGAAAATGCAGAATTTTTGAAAAACATTTTTTTGGTAAATTGTTTTCCCAGCAGAAGACGACAGCTGCCAATAACCAGTCCTGAAATAATAACTGATCCTGGAAACACAGAAGCGTACATGGTAAAATGTTGCACTTACTGCATTTTGTACCTGCTTTTCATTGACTTAGAACTTTTTTCTAACTGAGTCTGTTTCACTTTACAGGCAGCGGGAGAAATTGAGCCATACAGTATCTTCATCCAAACAGAAAATGGGCTTTATTCAACTTCTAAAATAAACTTAAATCATATTACTTGAAATACATTTGATGTAAATTGAGGTATGAATTTGCAGCACTTTTATAATAAGTATCTATTTCCTAGTGAATAAACAGTGAAGCTGGACGTGCAATCTCCAAAGCAATGGTGCTTTACTATTAGTTTCACTTATTGTTGCATTAGTAGAAGTACAGTTTATTTTAATCTTTTAAGAGTAACGTTTTATATCTGAAACTTAAATATCAAGTCACACTGTCTAGAGTGACAAAATAGACTTTTATACATATTCAGTTTGTTGATTTCAGAGCTGTAATAGCTTTATAGCAATAATTAGATCTTGACTGATGCTGGATGTTTAAGATACCAATATTTAGTCATTTCAAACTCAGATATTTATTCTGGTGTTGTTGTCTTTGAGACACACAAAGATAAACAAATTTCCCAAACATTTTTTAAGGGTGATCTATATGTGAGTCCTCACTAAGATAACATAATGCAGTCTAAAACAAAATCCTGTTTTTTTATATTAACAAGTCATGGATTACTTGTTTGTTCTCTGCACTTTGTAGCCAACAGGGGATCTGCAGAGTGCAGAGTTATGGACAAACTATGTAACAGTCATGGTTGAATGGTGTTTCTCCCGTCTCTACTTTTAAAATTTTTTATTTATTAGTTAATATAAATACAATATATTGACTGATAGATTAGCTCAGCTGATATATCAGTTAATAAAAATAATGATAATCCAAAACCAAGTTATTATGTCAAACAGCGTCATGCAAAAATCTTTTTTGAGCCATGGTGCGAGTTCACTACGCTGAGATTTGTAACCCACTTTAAACCGCTATGTGAAACAATAATTAGCATTTCCGCTTATCGTTATCTAAGTATGGGTTGTTGAGTGTTTCAGGGCTTTTTCAGTTAATGAGCCGTAACCCTGACCTCACACCATCGTCGAGCTTCCTGTATCAACTTCCTCTTCTCACAGACAGATTTTGCTCTTTTGCACTTTACCAATGTTCCCCACGCAGTTGGTTTTAAACAGGGACTCCCCAGCAACAACCACCAAACCTCTGTACACAAGTGCATTTTCCAGACTCTCTTCCTGGAATTTAATATATATGAAACTACTGAAAAGGCCAACAGGAAAATATTGTGTCTGAAAGAAAAGGCCTTTACTGTTTCGTGAATTGTGCACGCATCTGTACATAACAGTTTTTTTTGTTGTTTTTTCATCCTGTAATTTAAAGCAATTCAGCTGAAAAAGACCCTAATAAAATACCTCATGTTAGACGCAAAGTTATTCCTTTACTTTTTTCTTTCTTTTTCTTTTGCCTGTCAACTGCAAACAATTTTAAAACAATCATATTCATTTTATTTCTCAGATTTGCACGTGGTGACCAAAGTTGCACATAGACTAAGCCCACATAAAACCTTTTTATATTTATCCTTTAAGTCTGTTGAATGCCACCAGAGCTACAGGTGAAGGAAATGAAACTAATCACATCTAATTATTAATTTAATTATAACCTATCAGATTCTCCTGTGTCTTGATGACAAAGCATAGATACTTACATAATGTTACTTTACACATTTGGCATTTTTGAATGGTTTTTGTGTTGCCTCAACTTTTTGCATATCATGGTGTTTTTCTGGTCTTGCTGACTGAAGCACTTACAGACCACACACTGGGCTTTTTTATGGGCATTTTGTAGCATTTACTTGATGGAGCTGCAAAGAAAGTCAAGAGAGAGAGAAAGGGGAAATGGCACACAGGAAATTGCCTGGGGCATAGTCAAACCCAGGTAACTGCTTGTCTCTGAGCATGTGGGTCACTGGTTCAACCCAATGAGCCACAGGGGCACTTGTGCAGCACTTTGTACTTCTGCACAGCACAATCATACTGCTGGCTTCAGAAACTGTGTTAGTTTCACTCTGCATTATGCATAATTTTTCTAACATTGTAGCTTGCTCCCTTTGTAAAATTAGCCACTTCGCTACCTTTTCCATGTGGACATGGTAGCACCGAGATTAACGAACCCTGGATTCATTTATGACGTTTACAACCACCTTTAAGTGACCGCTTAGCCTGATTGTTGAAGTTAGAGAGTGAAGCCACATAACAGAAAGACGTCCTGGGTATGTTGAACTTGTTTCATGGTGCAATGTCTTACCGTCACGG